AGGGGAGACATCTTGCAGGGGCAGAGAATGGGACCGGAGAAGAATCCTTCCTGCAGCTGCAGAATCTTTCTTACTATTCTCAGCCTTCTCTGTACTAAACCTCAAGGCTGAACAAACAGTTTTTTAAAAAAATTGAAAGCTGGATGTCTCAAGATTCTATATAAGCACTAGCTCCTTTGCTCTACATAACCCTAGCCTTGCTATGTTTGTAAATTATACATGCCTCTATCTGCAGTAGGAGCCTTCCTCCTCCTGTTTTGCTGTGCTCCAAGAATTCAGTTTGGAACATTCAGTGCTCTCGGAAAGCCCAGTGACTCGAAATTCTTCTGGCTGGTTCCTTAACCAAACATTTCTCTGTAAAGCTGGCTCATTCTTCTGGAGTTCTCTCTCAGAAGACTCCAGTTGCAGTTGGTTTCCTTCCATGGGAGAGTTGCAGATTTGCTGGTATCCAGGAGTTGCATCCTCCCACTTAAGTACAGCTCAGGCAAGACTTAGGATGGCTGCCTGGAGCAGAAACTCCCTGTGAGAGAAGGCTGCTTGGGGTATGTTTCCTTCCAGAAATAAGCTTCCTAATTCATTACAAGGAGATTAGAAATCCGGGCAGATCCTCTGAGCTGCTTCCTCCTGAGATGAGGCTGTTTTGGCCAGGGGCAGGTCCCAGTGGGAATGCCCTGGTGCCAGCGGTAATTACCAGCTCGAGGGACTTCTCTGATTACATAGACTTCTGACTTTGCACTCCTGGCTTAATGGGCTTCCCAAAAGCTGCAACAGGCTGTGTATGCTGTCTCTTACTTTCCATATGGTTTTTCCATATCATGTACTGTTATGAAGCTCTTTATATGAGGCTTAGTAGCATAGTGCATTTTAGAGAAGTTAAAAGCTGCAAGTATTACTGAACAGCTTGGGAACAGTGTACATAGTATTCTCAAATGCAATGCATGTGGGTGGAAAATTGCCCAGAAAGTGATCTTTAATTTCAAAAGCAGGAATCTCTTTCAAAAACCAGGGGATTAGTTAACAGCAAATTGAAGAAACGAGTCAAGAGAACTGATCCTTGTTGGTGCTCAAAGGTTATTTAAAACCACAATATTAAAGACTTGGCTAAAAGGTATATTTCATATAAGGAAGGGTACAAATAAGTCCAAGAGATGCCAGTGTGATTAAATGGCAAAGCCCTTAAAGGGGTCTTCCTTTTAAAAGCAGGTACCTTGCTCAGATGAGGAAAATAAAAGAGGACAGAACCTCTGGGAAAGTAAATGGAAGAGGATGAGGCAGCAGGAATGAGAAGAGCAACTGGTGTAAGACATAAGGAGAAGCAACAAATATTCATTACATTATATCAGGGTCAGGAAATGAATCAAAATGGTGTGAGAGTAGTTCTGAAGGAGGCCAGGGAGGCTGCAGAGAAGCTAAGTGAATTCTGTGCATCAGTATTTATTCTGGCAGGAGCTGAAGAGAGTCCCATTGTTTGGGGAGGAGACAATTTGAGCAGCTATGTCAGCAAGAAGGAAAGTATGCCATATTAGATCTGATAAAGAATCTGCAAATTAGCATGACCTGTTTTATTTCTGCTGGCTTTATTGAAATCTTTCTGATGGCTCTAAATTGGAGTATTGCTTCTTCGTTTTCTCTTTTATTGCTGCTTTTTATGAGGTTATTGCCATTTTAACAGATCGTTATGCTGCTAGCTACTATTTTTAAGCCTAATGGTTTTAATGAAAGTCACAAACTGCTTCAGAAGTATTTTTGTTGAGACTGTGTGAGTTTAAATGTTTTAATTTTTTTTAGAAAAATCCCAGTTTAGCCGTATGTTTGGAATACTATGCTGTTTTGTTCCCTCCATCTCAAGAAGGAGATGGTATAGCACTGCCAAAGATGCAGAAAAGAGCAATCAGAATGATCAGAGAGGGGCTGTAGCTCAGTGGCAGAGAATCTGCTCGGCATACAAAAGGTCCTAGGTTCGATGCTGGGCATCCCCAGCTAAAATTGATTGGGTAGTAGGTGATGTGAAAGACCTCTGCCGAAGACTCTGGAGAGCCACTGCCTGTCTGAGTAGGTAGTACTGACCTTGATGGTCTGATTCAGAATAAAGCAGCTTCATCCAAGTACTGGAGCCACTTCCTTATGAGGGAAACTCTTCCCCAAATGCATCTATGGCTTCATAGTTTGGGGGGGGGGGGAAGATTTATAAGATTATGCATGGTATAGAGAAAGTACCCTGACCTGACTAGCCCAGGCTGGCCCAATCTTGTCATATCTCGGAAGTGAAGCAGGGTTGACCCTGGTCAGTATTTGGATGGGAGACCACCAAGGATGTCCAGGGGTGCTACACAGAGGCAGGCAATGGAGAATCACCTCTGAATGTCTCTTGCCATTGAAAACTCTACAGGGGTCTGCCATAAGTAGGCTGTGACTTGACAGCAAAGAGAAAGAGAGGGAGAAAGGAGGGGTGGAGAGGCCTTTCTACCCCCTTTCCTAATAGCATAACTCATGGTCATACACAGGGCTATTTTTGGGCAGGAACGCACAGGAACGGAGTTCCGGCTGGCTTCAGAGTTGGCCACGCCCACTACAGCCAAAACCTCTGTGTGCGTAGCTAGAGAGGGAAGGCCTGGAGAGTGACCTCCCCAGTGACTCCGAGGCGGCCAGGCCAGGGCCCCCCTAGAAGGATTGGGGAGGCATTTAAATGCCTCCCCATTCCTTCCCTGGCCTGTCCAGGGGCCGGCTTGCCTGGTCTCCCCACAGCCGCAGGGCACCCGGGCAAGCCAAGGGAAGGGGAGCTTGCCCAGGCTTCCCGCAGCCGTGGGCACCCAGGCAAGCTAAGGGAAGGCATGGGGTGTGGCCTAATATGCTAATGAGTTTCTGCTGTTGGGTGTGGCCTATTATGCTAATGAGTTCCTGCTGGGCTTTTTCTACCAAAAAAGCTCTGGTCATACAAGGAAATTAATCAACAGAAGGATCAGAAAGAGCAATGGGAAGTAATATTTCAAGCAACACATAGTTAAGAGAGCCAGTTTGGTGTAGGGGTTAGGTGTGCGAACTCTAATCTGGGAGAACCGGGTTTGATTCCCCACTCCTCTACTTGCACCTGGCTGGATGACCTTGGGCAAGCCATAGCTCTGATAAGAGCTGTCCTTGAAAAAGAGCAGTTTCTGTCAAGAGCTCTCTCAGCCCCACCCACCTCACAGGATGTCTGTTGTGGGGAGGGGAAGGGAAAGGAGTTTGTAAGCCGCTCTGAGACTCCAAGTGAAGGGCGGGGTATAGATCCAATCTCCTCCTCTTCTTCTTCTTCTTAATTTTATCACACTGTGTCAGGACATGGTGATGTTCACTAGTTTAGATCGCTTTTAACAAAGGGCAAAACAAATTCAAGGGGGATAGCCTATCATTGGCTGGTAGCCACGATAGCAAAATGGAACTTCCTGATTCAGAAGCACTGTATCTCTGAATCGATACTTGGCAGTACAAGAGGGGAGAGCAGCTGCCTTTGTGGCCTTTGTGGATGCTTCCTAGAAACATAGCTGGCTGCTGTTGTGAACAGGCGGCTGTGTGAAGTAGACTCTCAGTTTGACCCAGCCAGCTCTCTTATATTCTTAAACTGACAAGTTGTTTAATTTACTTCCCCCTGGTCTCCCCCCCCCCCCAAAAAAGGTTTTTTTGAGATCTGGTTAGCCTGGGGGGGGGGGGTGTTCTGTACATTTTGTGATTTGCTTATATCAAACCGTTGCATTATTATGTTCTCACAAAGGCATTGCTAGATTTTTTTTCCAGGTCAAGGAGACCATGATTTGTGTTTTAAGATATTGTGAGGCAGGTTGTCATTTATTTGGAATACATGCTGTTGGGTGCTGCTTCTGCACATGATGAAGAGCACACGT